GAGCAGTACATAGAAATGACGACAAATGACAATTTGCAGAGATTCTTTCGAAAAAATTACCCTTCTGTGTGTTGAGGTTCTACAGGCTAACAACTACGATGGAAGTTTAGAAGCACTGAAGCGGTAAGCCAGTGATAATGGGGGATGCTGCCTAAGTATAAGTGACCAGCTGAGCAGTAAGAACCCCGAACACAGCCTTACCAAAACATTCCTTTAACATAAACTGACCAGGATTTTCTAAGAAAGCTCTAAACTTTAGCAGAGCTCCTGAAGTACAGAGCCAGGGTTCTAATTCATTCTGCTGAAACTGAAGTGGCGGTCTCTGCCACTTGGCCCCCAGTTTCTCCTGGACTCTGACAAAGCCTTGATCTTGGAGTCGAAATTCCCTTAGGAGGAATGATAAGCCAGGTCTTCTTTGCTGCCATTGTTAACTGCTAGCCCTGGGGTATATCTCTAATAAACACAAGGGAAGTGTGTGAATTTCTAGATGTTTCCAGCAAAGGAGACATTGCTAGATTGTGATCTTAGATGAAGAGGGAGAGAAAATTAACATTCATAGGCAGCTACCACGGCAAATCCCAAAGTATTGACCTCCCCCATCTAAGAGCACACATTTACATGCTTCAAAGAGAAGACTAGGCTCCAAGAGGCCAAAGAGCCTTGTCACCCAGCTGTTAAAGAGAGGAGCTAGAATTAAAACTCAGGTCCTTTCCAGCTTTAAAGCCTGTATTTTTTCTACACAGTGGGCGACCAGATGACGTTGAGAAACGCCAGGTGCTGCCCCCAGAAATACCTGTGGGTGAGCCATGAGACCTACACTTCTACTGCAGCCTTTCCCTGAGAACCCAATTCTGGGATTATAAATAACAAAAAATGTGTCAACTGACGCTCTTTTTGGTGACAGGTAAGGAAGCCAAAAATATAAATTCACCTCCTCTGTTCTTGTTAAAATTCCACTCCTGGAATAGGCAGAGTTGGACAAGTTGTATGTGTTGTGACACAATCCAATAAAAATGAAATGAAATAAACGACTTTATTCTTCACAACTTCTACCTCTTATTTGACTCATGAATACTCTAGCTATGTTTCATACATGGCCTGTCTAGAAACTCATTCTGTAAAGAAATATGCCCTGTGTGACTTGTGTTTGAAATGGCCTGACTTGTTTCACAAGGCTGAGTTAAGGAACAGGGTGATCGGCTTCTGAAAAGTTCTACAGGACCTTTTAGCTTTCACACAGCCAGTTTTTCATTGTCAAGACATGAAATGTCTTTCCCCAGAACCGTGAAATCTTATCTTGTGGGAAAAATCTCTTTTGATTATTAAAATCATGTCATGATTTTAGAAATATACTTATGTCGTATAACAAAGTAGTATATAAAATTGTGCAAATTGTACTATCAGAGATCAATCCCAAAGGAAACCCTTAGAATGTTAGTAGTAGTTATTTGGGGTACATGAGATTATGCATAATTACTTTCTCTTATCTCATTCCAGTAACAAGTGCATATAGCTTTTTGAAAGTTAAATTACTAAAAAATAATGTTTTTGCAGAAAGTGGCATAAATATTATGCAGTGTTTCCTTTCTGTCAGCATCCATATATGAGGTTGTAACTTTGACTAATTCAAAGTGCCGAGTACACAAAAAAAACTAAAAAATTATATACCAATCTTGCCGATGAATATAGGTTAAGAAAAAAATTTCCTTCACTTAACAAATCCTATGTCAGGGTTTAGAAAATAATACAGTGTGACCCAGTAAAGTTGACCTAGGAATTGACAGTTAGAAAATCTACTGGTGAGTCCCAAGGCTATATATAAAAGGGAAAAAAATACAATCATTGAAACAAATACAGAAACATTAAAATCCATTGTGGGAAACTTCCTGAAGAGAGTATATAAAAAGAACAAATCAAGAACCTTAGTAAAACAAATATGACACTGAAGTGTAAGTTAGAAAAATTTTCATTAATCCAGAACAAAGATAAGGAAATCTGTTATTATTAAACATTACCCTCACAGACCCAGCCAATACAATAAAACAGGAAAAAGAAACAAAGTTCTTAAGGACTGAAACAAAAACAGAAACTTATTTTCATGTTATTTGTGGGCTATAAAAATCTAAGAATGAGTCAAAAAAAGTATTAGTAAAAGAATGCAACAACATTAGTAGAACTAAGATTCAAGATCAATATATAAACTGTTCCATTTAAAGTTTTTTACTTTACCAAATTACTGGCATTTGTTTAATAGAATACTTATCATTCCATGATCAAAACTAAATAAACAATGAATGAACTGTTACTACACACTCATTTTCTATTTTTACTGAATGTACATGCTTTCATGATACCTTTGTCTAAGCAAGTGTATCTGGAATAAAGACTTCTTATCTCACAATTAAATAATTTCAAATCATGCTCTGGCAAATCTGTAATTTGCCAGTTAAAAACTCCCTGTGCTATAAAATGGGATAAGAGGAAAGACTGTGGTGATGATCATCATGATGAAGACAAAGGAGGAGGAGAAAGCAGGGTCTTCCACAGACTAAATGTTTACCTTGCATCAATATTCATATAGTGAAGCTCTAACCCCAGTATGATGGCATCTGCAGAATGAGTAAGCAGATGGGTGAACAGACAGACAGACAGACAGACAGACAATGGAGAGGGGGCTAGCTGGCATTATGACAGTAAGGTCTTCATGAGAAAAGGGGGGAGATGAGAAAGGAGTGAGGAAAGGGGAAAGACGGAAAAGAGAGAAGAGGTCGGGGAGGGGGTGGAGAAGGTTGGTTTTGCTCTCTGTGCTCCATGTCAGAACTCAGTGAGAAGGCAAACCATCAAGGAAGAGAGCCCTCAGCAGGCCTGGGATTCTTTGCCATCTTCTTCTTAGACTTCTAGCATATAGATTTGTAAGAAACACATTTGTGTTTTAAGCCACTCAGTCTATGGTATTTTATAAGGGCAGCTCCGGTTGGTTAAGACGGGCTCTATATGGGGAAACAAAAAAGAAACTTAAAAACAGGAAACATGGAAAGATGAGAGGGAAGAGGAGATGGAGATAATGAGGGAGAAGAGCGAAGGGACAAAGTGAAGAAGATGATCACAACTTTTTTGAGCATTTACTATACACCAATGCTCTACTATGTACTCTATTTGCCTTGTTTCAATTAATCTTCACAGACAACCACTGTTGACTGCATAATTCGATCTTACTTTATAGGAGAGACAAGTGAGGCTCAGTGGGGGTGAACTGAGCTTCATAATGTCAAGTAGTGAGAAAGTGGTGTTGTCAGAATTTGAACTGAGGCCTGCCTGCCCAGGCTCCATGGTCTTAGGAGTAGGGAAATCCTCTGCTAATGTTAATCACGCTAATGTTACAGATTCTTAGATGAAGATGAGGAGGTTGTAAAATGGCCACGTTCACACTTCCAGAGTTCCAAATCTTTAAACTAGTGTCCTGAAAAGCTAAACCTTCTTTTTAGAATGTTCCTGGGTTTTGTGTGTTAAAATAAAGAATAAAAAATTATCCCCTAAGATAAAGCTTTTAACATGTTCAGCATCCAAGAGCACAAATTTAGTAGAAAGTTAATTTTGAAGCAAAAACATGTGTCAGTTTCTACTGCAAAAGTATTTGAATTCTAGTTCACACCAAACTTCACAACCTTCCTCTCACACTGCGTTCTCTCTAGACCCATTTCCTCAGCAACTCGCTTTCCTTCTATTTTTCTTAGACAATGAGGCATGAAAAACAAGGTTTACATGAAGCTATGTAGAATAAAATAGACGGTCTCCAAAATGTTTGTGTTTCAAACAGACATCAAAAGCAAAATTTATTGCTCTTCCTAGAGTTCTGCAGTCCAGGAGCTGCATATGGATGACATTTATACCCCTCACTTCACACAGAGTGCCAGACAATCACAAAACATGATTAGGCAGACACAGTGATATCTCTAACAAATCGCCACCCACAAGAACAGACTTCAATACCTGAAAGAATGCTTTTAATGCCCTGCATGGAGCTGAGAAGACAGGGGACAGAAAGAGCTGAAAATACAGGGATAAAACGAGAGAGAGAGAGAGAGAGAGGGAGAGAGAGAGAGAGAGAGAGAGAGAGAGAGAGAGAGAGAGAGAGAGAGCTTCAGATTACCAGAGAAGACACATGAAAGGCATGTTTATAAAGCCAAATTCTGCCCCCAAACAGAGAAGTGGTAGAATTATCTTTGTAAATAACTCTGGGCAAGCCAGTTTCCATCACCTGTCCTCCTCTCAAACATTTTCAGTGTGCTGAGACTCCCAGGGTGAGCAAGAGGTTTAGCTCTGAAGGAGTTGCTACTCAAGTTGACTCACAGAAAGACAAGACATTTTTAATAAAATAAGATACTAACAAACTGCTACTGAAGCAAAACAAATAAAAACAACCAACTCCAATGGGGAATAAGGAAGGCCTCTCTCTCCACAAAACTCAACCTGGAGAATGAACATTGATCCGTCTAGGAAAGGCGAAGAGCAAGGATAGATTTTTCTGGTGATAGTTCAGTGGTTCTGCCAATGCAGCCTCTGGAGCAGCCAGATCAGCATCACCTGGGAACTTGTTAGAAATGAAATCTGTGGATGCCAGGTACTTACTGGGGATGGACTCAAGTCTGCCCTAATCAGCCCTCAGGAGCCTCGTGTGGCTGAGGTTACAAACCACTGCAATATGCAAAGGTGAAATGTAATAGGCAGAATGTCTGGTGTGGGAATGGGGTTGGGGGCTGGGAGCACCAGGGGTTGACCTTGCTGGAGAAATGGCTTTATCTAGAAAGGCTTTGTAAATTGTGAAAACAACTCAGGATTTTACTTGAAGAATGATAGTCATCAAAATATGAGTACAAAACCCACCAAATAACATTACAAAAGTAACACCTGTTACACAGCTAGCTCTTAGTACCATTCCAGAGTTAACCTCATTCCTATATAGAAAAGCAGCCTTACAAAGGATGCAAAGTCAGCCCTACCTTTCTTTCTGGAGTCTTTCTTGGCGCTGGTTTTCACAGCTACTTGAAGTTCTGTCTCAGTTGACATCCTACTTAATCCTTAGGCCTCTTCACACAGACCCCGGGCCTCGGCCAGGCTCATTGAGGATCCTCTCCGAGAGAAAGGCTCCTCCCTTCAGAAATGACTCCCCACGCTGCTCATGTCATTCACTCTTTCGGAGTGCTGCAAATCAAAGCAAGAGAGAGTATTCAGAATCACCATCCTGGGTTGAAGATTCATTATGGGGAAATGAACTTGCAAACACATGAAAAGCAAGAAAATTTTGGTCTTCATGGATGCATTTGCTCACATGACTCTATGAAGCTATCAGTGGGTTTAAACCACAAAAAAATACGTAAATTCTCTGCAATACTGATTATCAAACTAGGAAACTCAAAACAGAGCTTTAAATTCTGGGTTTTCAAGAGATATAAAACCCAACCCTGTTTCCCATGTTCCTGAGAGTCCAGAGCTAGATGCCACCCCCCAAAATATCACAAAGACGTATTTCCTGCCCAGTCCCATGGAGACATTTCCAACAGGCCACCCATCCATCAGCCAAACTTGATCAGAGTTGGGGCAGCTAACGCAGATCACAGGGGACTGACCTGCACTCTGTCCCTCACTGGCAGGTATCAGAGGGGACATGAAGTTGACATGTAATTGGGCTCTAGGGGTAAAGTGACAAATGGGGCTGAGAAACTTTCCAGCAAACCAATTTTTATGTCAGCTTTTCCCCCAGCTATAGGAACAGACAAGCATTTAATGTTGAGAGAGAAAGGAAAAGAAAGGGAACTGACAGACAGACTTCATTCATTCATTCATTCATTCATTCATCCTCTAGTAAGTATGCACTGCACCGTGCTGGGTACTATGAAGTACAGACATTGGTAGGAGAAGAACAATACTAACTTTGACAACACAGTCACTGCAGTTAGCACAAACATTTACTATGCACTTTCTAGATGTACTCCCCCCTCTGCCCTCACCGCTGCACACACGTTGTCACGCTGGATTCCTCTTAAACCGAATAAACTCATTACCTTTGTTGATAGCCTTCCCCATTGCTATCTGATAGTTTTATCTGAGAATTCACTGAGGATAAACATTTTACTAGTTATCCATTTTCAAGAATATTAAGAAAAGGGGAATAGAAATGGTTCTTTAAATTGTGTAGCCAATATGTAGGTCATTCCGCAGAATTGAAACTGCTTAATCTAACAAGGCTGACCTTCAATGCCAATTTCAGCTTAAAAAGAAATAATTACCCAAACCTCTTAATCACAACAATTGAGATGTCTTAAACTAGAATATTTATATAAAAGCCACACAAGATGATAGCAAAACTTAACTATGAGGAAACATCCCCCTTAGCCAAAACAGCTAATTTGGATTTTTTAAAAAAATAAGCTGTTTTTATTTATCTGTTTGTTCATTATTTTTATGTGTATGAGTGTTTTGTCTGCATATACACAAGTGCATTTGTGTGTGCAGTGCCCACGGAAGCTAGAAGAGGGCACTGGATCCCCTGGAACTGTAGTTATGGATAGTTGTTAGCCATCATGTGGGTAATGGGAACCAAACCTGGGTCCTCTGCAAGAACAGCTAGTGCTCTTAACCGCTGACCCTCCTCTCCAGCACCAAACTAACTGTATTTTAAAGGACGCTATTTCTGAATGTAAGTACTTGAACTGGAAGATCTATGGTGACAACTAAGGAAAAGAGAAAGTGGCCTCTGTAGAATGGGCTCTCTGAAACCATGCATAGAAAATGAGCTTCTGCCCTGTTGGCGGCATTATCTATACCTTACCACTTGCTCTCAACTCCTTCCCAAGAAAACACCCCAGAGGAGATGACACGGTCACAAAAATTGATCACATATAGATATATTCTTAATATTTATCATTTTATTGGAATAAATCTTTACTAGAATATTTGGATTCTGCCTGTAGATAGAGAGGCAATTTCTATATTGTGGAATATGTCTATGCCTTTGAACTCACACTGAGTAGATAATTACTTACTTTACTTACACAGAAGTGTTATTTCACCTCTAGCATTTAACTTGAAATCTGCATATCTGTGTTTGTGCATCTGCAAGTACGTGTATGTGCGTTGATGTATCTAATGAGGTCAGTGTATTCAGGGTGGTGTGGTTGTAGACTATTCATGTATCTGTATACACGTGTGGGTATACATCTTTAGTCTTCTAATAGGTCTTCAGACATTCAACTTTCACAATACAAGTGTAATGGTTTGAATGAGAACGTCTCCCATAGGCTCCAAGTATTTGGACATTTTGTCCCCAGTTGGTGGTGCTATTTTGGAGGTCTTAGAAGGTGTGGCCATGCTGGAGGAAACATGTCACCAAGGGTGGGCTTAGAGAGTTCTTAAGCCTTGCCAGATCTCAAGTAGTTTTCTTGCCTCCTGTGCCTGCTTAAAGATGTGAGAGCTTAGCTTGGGCTCCTCCTCCAGCCACCTCTGCCACCATGCCTCCCCGTCATGATGGACTCTGGCCCCTTTGAAACCATAAGCTAAATAAACTCTTCCTTTTATAAGCTCCCCTGGTCATGGTGCTTCTACCACAGCAACAGAAAAATGACTAATACAGCAAGCAAATTATCACTTTTATTCATTTGTCCATTTAGAATTAACCAAAGGCAATGGATTCTGTCATTACTGATTGTAAAAACAATAAAGGTTGCATATTGGGAAAAAAGGAGGTATCATCAAAGCCCGTCTCTAGTTCTCAAAGAAGCACAGTCAAGCAGAGGTATTTGTCACATAAGGGATAGCAGTACACACACATGGCCAGAACGTAAGTCAATGTAAATGTCAGGCTTGCTGAAGCACAAAGAAGTAAGTGTTCATTTTGCCTGCAAAAGTCATTAAAGCTATACAGAGGATCAGCCCTGCTCTGCAGTATCCCAGAAAACAATGCTTTTGCTGAATGGACAATGTAATGGATCAACAGGACCTCATAACCACATCGAACAAAGGTGATTGATGAGAGGATTTCAGGCAGAAGACTTGACATATGCAAAGGCAACAAGGCTTGAAATCTGTAACCTAACGACTGAAGAAAGCACAAGTCTAGCATGGAGCTGGTTCACTTGATCATCTTCCCACTTCTTCCTTGTGATGCCGTTTCCATCACAACTCTTCTTGGGTCTACCTTGACATTCATCCAATCCCTGGGGTTCACTTCAAAGAGAGTCCAGCTGGAAACTTTCTGAGCTCTCTATTAAAATGGAATCACTCTTCATTTATTCTATGACTGGCTTTCCGACCAGGGCTTCAGCAGCTGCCCAGTCATGGGACACTGAGGAAGTCACTTGCCTCAGTTTCTTCACCTAGACAATGGAGTTAACATCGCCAGATTTATGGAGTCATTGTGAAGCTATGTGGAATCACAACGGTAACATGGTTGGAAGATTACCTACTATACCTCTTGGCAAGCACTTAATACATGAAGTGCACAGCTTCCTGTGTGGCTTGCTCAAAGCCTCATAGCTAGTATGAGATCACATGCCCAGATTTGGACTTTTATAAGGGAGGAGCCCAAGACAAATTAAGTTGGCTATCTGAGAATGATTGTAGGAAATGGTAGAATCTAAGATCCATCATGCTTGTCCTATATACCAAAAGTGCCTTCTAATCTTGAAAGAAAGGAGCTTAAATGCATGGATTTATACAATTTCAAAGATTCTTGAAACTACCACATGAAAATGCATGGAATTTGGACTATTTTCTACCGCTCAACTTCAAAAGCCTCCATATAGTAGCTCTCCATTTTCCGTGGGTTTATCCAGAGTCCCTTGTTTGAGAAAATGTGATATATTCAAGTGCTATCAGCATTGCTTGTGAATCTCTGAAGTACTTCCCTGTATCAATAATGAGAGGAAACACCAGCGCCACTCTGAATGGAAACTTAAATAGAGGATCTGTGTGGAGAATGCACACGGCAAGGGCCCCGCTGTCCCCTTTAATTTTCTAAAAGCCAGAGGTTGAGCAAATTCTGTGAAGTAACTCCAAATTATTTAGGAAATTCATTTCTTTGTAATTAAGGAGATTAAAGTCCTCCAGGGCCAGAAACCATGTGACAATTCAAATCATTTTCCCCCGTAAAAGCTGTGAAACCCTATCAGTTAAATTCAGGCTTGTCTGGAATTTTGAAATGCTTCAATAATGTTTCTTTGCTCCACACAATCTGCAGTAATTTAATATTCCTGAAGTGTGTCAGGTTTTTTATAATGAGCTCTTCAAATCTAAATGTGAATTATGTAACATTCCACTACAGACATTCTGTCTAGTGAACTGCTTCAAAAATGTAAAATCCCATGTTGAGTTCCAAGGCAGGGGCCAAACACCCCCCCACAAAGCCGAGGAAACAGATATGCCTCTTTGTAAAAAACAAAGCATGAAGGCTTTAGCAGCTGTAACAGAGCAAACCCAAACTAAAACATACTATAACACAAATTTGTGTTGTCTCCTACAGCTCCTGCCACTGAGTCCTATGGTAGAATGGCTATGGCTTACTGAAGGTCAGCAACGCTATGAACTTTTTAGACATTTCTAATTCATTCATTTTGTCATCTTGAAGAGTTACTATTTTTTTGAAGGAAGTCTTTTTGAGAGAGAGTCTCCCTAAGTAGCCTCAGCTGGCCTGGACCTCAATATGTAGACCAAGCTAGCCTCGATCTCACAGATATCTGCCTGCCTCTGATGCCACCTTCTGAGTGCTGGAATGAAAGATGTGCACCACCACACCCAGCTCTAGATACTATTTTAAAAGCTGTGTTTTCGTTTTTTAATTTTATGTGTATGGATGTATTGCTTGCATGCAGGTAAGTACACCTGTGACATACAATGCCCATGGAGGTCAGAAGAGGGCATCAGATCCCCTGGAAGAGTTACAGAAGGTTAACTGTCATGTGGATGCTGAGAATTGAACCCGGGTCCTCTACAAGAGCAGTCAGTACTCTTGACCACTGAGCCATCTCTCCAGCCCTCTACACATTATTTTTAAAATATTTTGTTATTGTTTGAGAATTTCACACAATGTATTTTGATCATATTGGATACTGTTCTTTTTTTTTTTTTTTTTTTAGAGAATGAGGAGATTGAGACACAGCCAAGTGAGGAGATTGTCCAAGGTCATGTGGGGACAAAGAGGCATAGTA